GACCAGACTGGGCAATTGGCAAGACCTTGTCTTTACAATAAATAAAAAACAATTAGCCTGGCATGGTGGCATGAGCTGTAGTCTTATCTACTTGAAGGCTGAAGTGGAGTGATCACGTGAGCCCAGCAGCTTGAGACTGTGGTAGTTGTGATCATGCCACTGCACTCCAGCCGGGGCAACAGAATGAGACTTCAACTCAAAAAAGAAAACAAAAACAAACCAAAAAACAAATTTACAGTATAGGAGGTGGATGTACATATAATAAATATAAATGGCATGTCTCTACACTAACAATAGCAATTAGAAAATGGGATTTAAAAAGAAATACCATTTACAAACGTCAATACAGGAAGTTAATTTTTTTAACTTTCAAAATAACCCCAGATTGAAAATAATGCAAATATTTATCATATTCGGATAGTTAAATAAATTGTGGTACATTTGTAAAATGCAAGTCGATGAAAATGAACAAACCGCTTTTATAGGTAAAAACAGGCAGGTCGTGGTGGCTCATCCCTGTAATCCAGCACTTTGCGGGGGCGGAGGCGAGGAAATTGTTTGAGCTCATGGATTCGAGAACAGGCTGGACAATTTGGCGAGACCTCATCTCTGCAATAAATACAAAAAATTAGCTGGGCTTGGTAGCAGGCGCCTGTAGTTCCGGCTAGTTGGAAGGCTGAGGTGGAAGGATCCCTGAGCCCAACAGATTGACGCTGGGGTGGTGGTGAGCGTGACACTGCACTCCAGCCTGGGCCACGGAGTGAGACTCCAACTCAAAAAAATAAAGGAAAATAAAATAAAAAACAATAATAATAACAATAATCCGGGCATGGTGGCTCATGTCTGTGGTTCCAGCTACTTCGAAGGCTGAGGCAGAGGGATTACCTGAGCCCAGCAGGTCAAACTATGGTGGTTGTGCCACTGCACTCCAGCCTGGGTGACGGAGTGAGACTCCAGCTTAAATAAGTAAATAGATAAATAAATAAAAATATATTCACACACACACACACACACACACACACACACACACACACACACACACGAATGAAACCCAAAGAAAATGTTGAGCAAAAGAAGCCAGACATATGAAAATACAGATTCTATTTGATTCAAGGTATATGAAGGCTGTTTTTGCCTTTGATTTTGTTTTTGTTTTTTAAAGATAAAACATATGATGAAAGAGTTCAGAACATTGGTTGACTTAAGAAGGGTTCAAAACGAGATGCGGCATGAGGGAGCTGATGTTGGTTACCAAACAGGGATATAAACTAGTAAAATGCATCAAGCTGTACTCATAAAGTTTATATGCTTTTTGTTACTTATAATAATTTGATAGCATAGAGGAAGAAAGCAACTGAAAGAATAAAAGATTTGAGTGCCACATTAAAAATGATCACAGATGGCTTTGACTTGAATTCTAGGAAGCGTTTCTTTTCAGCAGGAAGCTTTGAATTACCAAACTCTGATGCCTATCCAATTCATATCTTTAGGAACCATATGTTTGTTTGTTTGTTTTTACTTTCTCTGAGATATAACATCTAGAACAGAGACTAATAGTGGCAAAATAGCGACCGATATTTGAAAGTAACTGACAAAAAGAAAAAAAAAAAAAAGGAACCTTGCAGGGTAGCTGAAATAGTTCAGGTGGGAGAGCACTAGACTGTAGCTCTAAAGGTCCCTGGTTCAATTCAAGGTATATGAACAGGTGGTGCTCTATTCCTTTTTTTGCACAGGTCACTGACTTTTTTAAAACCCCATATCCATGTAAACTGTGAAATATTGACCCAGTACCTGATATCAGTTACCTACAAATATCTAAGTCCACAGTGCCATTTCTATGGTAAGAGGCAACTTACACTTACTTTTAATATGAAAAAGGCACAAGGGTACTTGCCTAATGAACATTTGCATACCTAACCCTGAATTGTGCTCCACATCTTTAAAATAAAAAATTAAAAGAGAGAGAGAAAAAAGTATGACAGTGAAAAGACTAATATAGTGATACCTGCACTACCATGTCCATTACAGCATTATTCACAATAGCTAAAATATGAAAACAATTCAAATGTCCATTGACCGATAAAGGGATAAAGAAAATATATATACATACAATGAAACATTAGTCAGCCTTAAGAAATAAGAAAATTCTGTCATTTGTGACAACATAGATGAACCCGGAAAACATCATGCTGAATGAAATAAATCGTTCATAGAAGGACAAATACTGCATAATGCCACTTATATGAGGTATCTAAAATAGTCAAATTTATGAGAGCAGAAAAAAGAATACTGATTGACAAGGGATGAGATGGAGAAATGGAGGGTTCTTTCTCAATGGGTATAAAGTTACAGTGACCCAAGACGGGCAAGTTTTAGATATCTGCTGTACAATATAGTGCCTCTGGTTGCAATAGGAAATTGTGCACTTAAAAATTTAACAGGGTAGATCTCAGATTTAGTTTCCTACCACACGTACAAAAAAGCAAAAAGGACAGGAGACTTTTGGAGGTGAATGAGTTATGTTTATTACCTTGATTATTGTGTGATATCATGGGAGTTTACTTATGTCCAACCTTATCAAACTATATGCATTGCTGTATATAATAAATATGTGCTTTACTCTGTATCAATTATATCTAAAAACTGCAAAAAGAAAAAAGAAAAAATATGAAAAAGGTTCATAAATCTTTTCATAAAACACAATTTCACGTCCATACACATAAGTTCCACACCTTTCAGCAATTCCTTGAGACAAAGAAAGAAAATGTATCCAATGCCTTATTTAGTGTGTGAGGATGCTATTAAATGTATCTGTAAGAATCAGGACTTAAGCATTTTCAATTCTCCACTTATCCTCTGTCTCTGCCTTCACTTATAATTTGGTGTCATGGAGTCTTACATTGTTGTCAGGACTCTGAATTTTGTAAGAATTTTTGCTTATTTCATACTATATTTTATTGTTTTCAGCATTAGGGACAGTCCCAGTTCCTGGTTAGTCATTTGACCGTGCAGAGAAGCAAAAGATGACATTTTAAACATTAATTGAATTCTCATAGTAATATTAAGATTATATGTGATTACACACACACACACACACACACGCTGTATATATATGCTGTAAAACAAAATAAACGGTGCAGCGGTGCATGCCTGTAGTCTTAGCTACTCAGGAGGCTGAGGTGGAAGGCTCACTTGAGACCAAAAGTTTGAGGCCAGCCTGGACAACATGGCAAGGTCACCCTTGTCTTTAAAAAAAAAAAAAATCGGCCGGTTCGGTGGCTTAGCCTGTAAGCCCAGCACTTTGGGAGGTCGAGGAGAGTGGATTACCTGAGCCCGCGGGTTCCGGATCAGCCCGGGCGACTTGGCGAGACCTCGTCTCTACAATAAAATGAAAACTAGCCGGGCGTGGTAGCACGCGCCTGTCGTTCCGGTTACGTGGAAGACTGAGGCGGAAGGATCGCCGGAGCCCAGCAGGTCGACGCTGGCGTGGCCATGAGTGTGCCACTGCACTCCAGCCTGGGCGACGGAGTGAGACTCCAACTCAAAACAAAGCAACACCAAAATCATTGTTAGTTAATATTGATTCAGTATTTTTCCTGAGGCAAGATTAGATAATTAATTAAAATATTCCTATCTGGAATACAATAAATATTTCAAAATTCTCTTACCAGACACTTGTGGCAGATGTTCTAGCATGTATTGCCAACAGTGTAGGTGGAGATATTAAAGATATATTTGATTGTATATAGAATATTTTTAGAATACGAGAAAATGAGAATTTAGATTATCTCCGAGGATAAGGGAGTATTTGGGATCTAAGATCGATAGGTACTTGCTTACCATTTTATACCACATGTACAGTTAAGGAAGGGCAGAAGAACTTTTACTAAGCCCTTCTTTTGGTTCAAGAATTACTGCTGGCAACGTTAGCATACCATCTCGTCCATTTAAAGCAGGGTGAAGAATAATATGGTTTTTAGATCTGGGAACTTCACTATACCAGGAAAGGCAATGGAAAGTGGGAGTGGGATGAAGAGAATAGATCTAAATCTTAGGTTTTACCAGACGAAAATGTGCTGATTTCTCTAGTCGTGGGTGCAAAATTTTGTCCAACAGTGTTTGGTTTTGGTTACAACGTGAGTGCCCAGGCTTATGCTGTTAGAACCAGAACATCATGAAGAGCCCTGAAAGGCAATCCTTTCAAACAAACAAGCTCATTTTGTTGTGATGGCTTTATACGTGGACATCAGGGGTCTATAAACACAACGTCGGAATGTACAAGAGGATCCTCGAAGGTCAGAATGCAGTTCTTTGAGACGTGTGACTGCAGAAGCCGCATCAGTTTCCTCTTATGTGATTTCTGAGCAAGTAGAAGCCTCAGCTCTTGAGACCTAGGATAAGAGCTCTGGAAGACTACCGGAATAAAACATGAATGCTGGAATCCCAACACTCCTTGCTCGCGCCACCGTCAGTTTTAGAATCAACAAAGTGACTCCAGTACTGTTGGGCTACCCCAATCACAACTCTGGATATCATCGCCGAGGACATCAACGCTTGTGTGCGACTCGTCAGAGACCCTGAGAAGACCTGGCTCCTTTCCTCAACCCTACCGCCTTCCTTTCGACGGCGTTGCACGAACCAGTTTATGAAGTTATAAGTCATTAAATAGACGTTTGCAATTTGCTATCCAGTACACGGACATGCCTCTAAAAAGGGAAGGGAAAGGCTTCCTTCGCTTACAATGGAAAATCCTACTACAATGTTTTCTCTACAAACTATATTATACTCAGCTTCTGTCAAAAATTTCCTCGTGGATTTTCTGATCTGAATCCAGGGTTAAAATAGTTTAGATTCTTTAGTTAAACTCTGTGCGTATGACTCAAAGTGGTTTTTTGGTTTTTCCTTTTTTTTTGAGGAGAGTGAAAAAAAATTTTTTAGGAGAGAAAAAAGTTCGACGAACTTAACGATTGAAAAAAAAAAAGAAGCAATTGGGTAACTATGGCCGGTTAGCTCAGTCGGTTAGAGCGTAGTGCTAACAACGCCAGGGTCGCGGGTTTGACCCCTGTACGGGCCAACGTGGATTATTCGTATTTGGATAATCTATCTTTATCTTTAATTCAAGCCACTTACAATCCCAAATCGCCACTGCCCAGAATCTAAAATTCACACTTTCTTCTCTTCATAGAGCGAGAAGGCTATTTACTTCTGTTTCGCCTTTAAAAAAAAATAAAAACATGGAAGCATTAGGAAGGATCTACTGAAGAAAACTGAGTGGAGCAGTGTGGGAGCGAGGTGGGCGTGTTTTAGGAAAGGGGAAATTCGGAGGAGGAACGAAACTGGCCTGCTTGTCTTTTAGTGAAACTTCTGGAAACCGTATTCTTTGGGCGCTTTAAAGGAGCTCAGGAGGGAGAGAGGAGCAGGCTGGCGTGGCCAGGGACCTCGCTGGTTGAGTGTGGCACTGACAGCAGCAAGACAAGGGTGAGTCTGTTTCCGGAGCGCCTGCGCCGCGTTCTTTTTTCTTACCCAAGGCAGTGTCCAAGGGAGATAAATGCCCGCTCCGTGTGAGGTTTCCACTTGGCTTTCACGGAGGACCTCTCTCCGGCTGTCAAGAGCAGGGAAGTGAGCCGGTGCTGCCAGAGCGGCAGTTCTGTCAAGCCGTTCCCCGCCCCGCCGACCTGGCCCGGCCGCAGCGCCGCCGAGCGAGGAGACAGGCCACGCTCTTTCGGAAGCGAATCCACACACTGAGGCGCTCTCTTGGTTTAGCGTGAGGAGCGTTTCCCCCGCTTGTCAGTGATTACCTCCCGGCCCCTCCCTCCACTCTGCCTCGTCCTGGAGAAGGGAGGTCCGTCGATTCAAAGAGAACAGCTCCAAAGCTGCCATTTCCCGGACTTTCTTAAACACACTCTTCCGGGATCGGTCCCTCCCTCCCTCCCTCCTTCCCTCCCTCCCTTCCCTCCCTCCGACTTTCTTTCTTTCGGAGCCCCTGTTGGTTCTCCTGTCTCGAAGATCTCGGGGCAGAGGGATACGCGCAGGAACCGCGGAGGCGGCGACGAGGTCGGAGACGCGAGGAGGGGCGGGAAGGGAAGTTGAGGCTGAGATGAGTCGGCCGGATTCAGGGTGGAACTCCGCCTGGAGGCCTTCACGAGGCGAAAAGCCGCCGAGGCACAGAGCCGCGGGCATTCCGCGTCTCTGCAGCCGTGCCTTTCTTGAACCAACCTTCCTTCAGATGTCCCATTGCTTGTGAACAGTGTCCCTGCCCAGGGAAAGAGCTGTGCGGGAGAGAGAATTCTTCCCAGTGGAAAGAACGTGGATTTTTTTTTTTTCTTTAAAGTTTCTTTGGTTTCAGTTTTCCTTTGAACAATCTTTTCCAGCCAGCCCCTTTCTCAGGTCGAGGAAGAGATAAAAAGTAGAAAAGAAAAACTCACTGTTGGCTCCTTCAACGCTTTCAGATTCCAATGGCAGCACCACGGAAGGTGAAAAATCATTTCCAGTAAAGTACATTCAAACGTTTGTTTCATACGACCTTGAAGTGCTCGGTAAAAGATGCTACTGCGAGCCAGCCAGGAGTCGAACCTAGAATCTTCTGATCCGTAGTCAGACGCGTTATCCATTGCGCCACTGGCCCGCAACTGCACGAGGTGTGGAAGTATTATTATTTTCATTACTATGTTCTACTGTACTGTGGCGACCAGAAGTAATGATTGATTCTTTATTTAGATAGAGATTAGAACTCAGACCCGTACGGATTCTAGGAAAGCATGTTTTACTTTGTGGTGGTACATCCACGTAAAATGTCTTTACTGGACAAAATGGCCAATTTTCATTTTTGAGACATTATGTGATAAGATGAATGTCTTTCCTTCAAAACAATATTCGTGTTTTTGTCTTCTCCTTTTTGTTCTGGTTTTAAGATCTTCATTACTTTTTCAGCTCAATAATCTGCCCTCACCTGAATTTCATTTTTTTATATACAGTACTTATATTGGGCATTGATGGTGTGTGTGGATAAGTAATGAGCAACTGTGTTATCTTAAATGTATATATTGCAAAAAACAAAGTCCTTTGGAATACATTTTTGGAGACACTAATTATAGTTTTCCCGCTTCTCGTCCAAAAAGGGGGGAAAAGTAATCATTCTCCATAGAGACACTTATGGTTAATGGTATCATAACTCAAGCAGATAAAGGCCCTCAAAGAAAGAAATGTAATGAGTTTTTTTTTTTTTTTTTTTTTTTAGTCAGAGTCTCACTCTGTCGCCCAGGCTGCAGGGCAGTGGCAAACTCACGGCCACCGCAGCCTCAAACTGGGGGGCTCAGGCGATCCTTCCACCTTAGCCTTCCAAGTAGCTGGAAGTATAGGCACGCGCCACCACGCCCAGCTAATTTTTTTTTTTTAAGTGAGAAAACAGGATTTATTTAGAGGACAGAAAAGCTCCCGTAGTGGGAGGGGACCCGAAGGGGTTGCCACCCAGCTAATTTTTTGATGTATTTTAGAGATGAGATTTCACCAAGTTGCCCAGGCAATCCTCTCACCTCGGCATCCCAAAGTGCTGGGATTATAGGTGTGAGTCACCGCGCCCAGCATCCCAAAGTGCTCGGATTATAAACGTGAGTCACCACGCCCAGCATAGAAGTGCACGTTTTTTAAAATCCCATATGAGGATTTAGATGCCAGTCTCATGGGTTTATATGCTGGTATCACGGAAATTTTTTGGGGATCCACGTAGTAAATCGCCACAAACTGGCAAGGCGACATCGCCATAGAAAGCGACTTCAACGCTGTGAGCAGGACTTGAACCTGCGCAAGGAAACCCCATTGAATTTTGAATCCAATGCCCTAACCACTTGGCCATCACAGCTCTAAGAAGGAAATTTTAATCTTTAGACTAAAGGCAAACAGATCATTTGCTATTTGGCGTGGAAGAAGTGACGAGAAAACATTTCACCCCATAAGGCACTCTTTTAGGAAAAAGGGGTCTCTTCTATAGCTGACGCCCAACTTCATGCACCTCACATGTATTTTGTCAGCCTGCTATATGCCAGGCACTTTGGATTCAATGGTGGCAAAACAAGCATGGTTTCCTCTATAAAAGAACTCAAGTTAGCAGAAAATCCATCTGGAGATGTTAGGGTATTAGCTAAATATAACCCCTTTGCACATGGAAAACCTCTCTAGAGAGTGTCCATCGTTGCTAAGCTTCCTCCACAGCACACTAGTTCCAGTTTACCAGCTGCTGGGTGCTCCTTTTTCCCACATAAAGTGAGCAAGTGAATGACAGTGATCTACACAGCCAAGTGAATATTGAAGCTGCCTTCATTCATCTCCAAGAGTCTTTTCTTCAATTCCCACTTTAATCTTAAGTCATATGGTGGCTCTTCAAGATTCTACCCTTCTGCTCATAGGAAATTTTGTTAGCGCAAATATCTGTTGCTTGAACAAATCTCTGTGGACTCAGTTAATTATTCTCTGTTCCTCACTCCACTTCATATCTTTTCTTCCCTTCTTACTTGACATATATTAGACTCATGCCCTTTCTACACTCTCAACTCCTCTTCCTCACTTCATGTTCCTTTGGCAAAGTCACAATCTGGGCAGCTGAACATGATTGGAGAAAAGTATATGATCAGTTGATGAACCTCACTTTAAATTCATGACAGTGAATCTCAAGTAGGTCCTCAAGGCTTCCAGGCAATTGTACCAGACATTAGACAACAGTAGAAAACCTAGATGACTGTGGGTATGGGACTCCAACTCCTATTTTTCTAAGTCTCTATTTCACACCCTTTCTCATCCCAAACCTTCAATATCTTCTCTCCTGTTACTGTGTTCATTTGATGAATTTGCTTCCTAATTCACTGAGAAAATTAAAGCAATCAGAAGAGACTTTCCATGAGCATCTACCATATCTATCCACCTACCAGCCCTGTAGGACTGTCAGTGATCCTATATTGCGGGGGCCCGCCCCGCGAGGGTCGTGAGATGTCCTGAAGGAGAGACGGATAGGCGAAAGACGAAGATAATATACCGGACACCTGCTTCCTGAACAGATGACAATTTAATGTTAGTTAACACAGAGCTTTTATACCATTCGTGAAGGGGCAAGACAAAGAAAATTCCTTCACGTATATATCTTCTAAAAGTTACCATCTAGTGGTCTTAGTAGCAAACAAACCAAGATTCCCATAGGCATTTAGACAACAAGTCTTATTCATAAAGCCAACAATGATACTTTCAGTCCAATGTCCCAAATTACAGTCCTTGAAATGTCTCAAGAAAGTTTCTTTAAGTGTATATTTCTTTATGTGTCAGGAATTTTCTCATCTTAGGCTTTTATGTTCTTCAGAGTCCTGTGATCGCCTCCCTTGTCCAGATGTCCTCGTTACTTTTCTCTTATCTTGCAGTGCTTGTTTCTAAAGAGAACTCAAAAGAAGCTTTTAGTAATGTTTCCCAGGCCCCTCAAGGTTGCTTTCTGTTTTAGCTGATCTGTCATAAAAGTGTCTGATTATTATATTATGAGTTCAGTGAAAATCCACCCTACAAATGTTAACTTAGAGTTTTAACTATTGAATTAAGTAAAAACCTTAACATTAATCTTTATCCCAAGTCAGTGAAAAAAGTGTTATAAATCACCTACATAACTCCTATACAAGTGTTAAAACTTATAATGAATTCATAATAAACTACTATAAACTTGTGCTTCTAAAAAACCTTATGTCTAAACACTAAACTGCATAATCCTAAATCAAATAAGGAGTGGATATACTTATATCATTTATTACTTAAGCAATATCTAGTAACTTATAACCAAGTGAAGGAAAGCATTCTTGATGTGCTTCAGAGTTGAACCCTTGCATATGTTAGAAAAGGCCAAACAGCATAGTGGGAAATGGAAAAATGAACCATGACATTTCCAGGTTAGCTGTGATTCTTCGCATAAACATGCCATCTTCTTCTTCCACGACTGCACAGAATTTCTTCAACTGTATCAACAGCAAAGATGGAAGACAGAAGGGCCTCAGCTGCCTGGACTCGCTTTGCGGTGGGGGGTCCTCAGCACACCTGGACTTTGTCAATCAGGCGGGCCTCTAAGGCTGGCTCCCAACACTATATGCTCTAGACAAGGTCATCAGTGATCTCCAAATGTCTAAACTCGTTTCTCAGTCCTCACTTCACCTGGCATAGCATCAGCTTTGAATACCTCTGAACAACACTTTCTTCAATTACTTGCGGGTAACAATTTTCCTGGTTGTCTTCCACTTAGTAATAAACATTTAAAGTTCCACCATGTCTTTTCATGGTTTGATAGTTCATTTCTTTTTAACACTGAATATTATTCCATTGTCTGGATGTACCACTATTTATTTATTCATTCACCCACTGAAGATCATACTGGTCATTTCCAATTTTTGGCAGTTATTAACAAAGCTGCTATAAACACGTGTGTGTGGGTTTCTGTGTAGACTTGTTTTCAGCTCCTTAAGTAGGCTTAGTTCTGTAAGAAAGTTTGGTAAACTGTCTTCTTCAGTGGCTCTATGATTTGGCATTCCCACCAGCAATGATGCTCCACCTCCTCATCAGCATGTGATGTTATCATTGTTCTGGATTTTGGCCATTCTGAGAGGTGTGTAGTGAATAATATCTCATTGTTGTTTCAACTGTATTTCCCTGATGACATATGATGTGGAACATCTTTTCATGTGTTTATTCGTCTCACTATGTTGCCCAGGCTAGTCTCAAACTCCTAGGTGCAAGCAATCCTCTTGCTTTGGCCTCCCACTGTGCAGTGTGTCATCATGCTCAGCCTATATATCTTTAGTGAGATATCTGTTAAGGTCTTTAGCCTATTTTAAAAATAGAATTGTTTGTGTTCTTACTTTTGAGTTTTAAGAGTTCTTTGTATATTTTGAATAATAGTTTTTTATTAGATGTGACTTTTGCAAATATTTTCCTGTCTATGGCTTGTCTTCTCATTGTCTTGACATTTCATTTAGCAGAGCAAAAGTTTCAAATTTTAGTGAAGCTTATTAATTATTCTTTCATGGGTTATGCCTTTGGTGTTGTATCTAAAATATTATTTTTATACTCTTGGTCACCTAGGTTTTCTCCTGTTATCTTTTAGGAGTTTTATAGTTTTGTATTTTACACTTAGATCTATAATTCATTTTGAGTTAATTTTTGTGAAGACTGTAATGTCTGTATCTAGAGTCACGTTTTTGTATGTGGATGTCCAGTTGTCCCAGCACTATCTGTTGAAAAGACTATCTTTGCTGCATTGTACTGCCTTTGCTTCCTCGCCAAAGATAGTTTACTACAATATTTATGCGGGTCTATTTCTGGGCTCTCTATTCTGTTCATTGATCTGTTTGTCTGTTTTTTTCCACCACTTTCAGAAATTCATTTTCAGAAATCCAAAGACTTTGAATGGTTTCTCTTATTCTCCTCTACCAGGAAACCTCAGGGCTCAGTCTTTGAACTCCTTTTCTTTCGTTAGCCTTTTCCATTACCTGGCCAATCTCATCTACTCTTATAGTTTAAGTAACATGCATATGCTGAAAACTCACTACTTTGTATTTGTAGCCTAAATCTCTTCCCTAAATTCCAGGCTACTATATCCAACTTCCTGATTAATATCTCAATCTGGGTATCTTAGACATTTTGAACAAGTCTTATAATAGACAATATGCTCTAACATGATTCCTGAGTGTCCCCTTGAAAACTTCCTTTAACCCTAGGATTGCATATTTCAGTTAGTGGCAATTTCATCATTTTGGATTGTAATCCTTATTTCTATTCTAATTTTCTCTAGTGTCTTTTTTTTTTAACGTTGATGAAACATTTAGGCAAAAAAATCTTGGCAAAATGCTTAACTCCAATTATTCTCTCATTCCACATATATGAAAGAATTTTCTTTGTTCTACCTTCTGAATAAATCCAGATCTAACAAACTTCTCAACTGCTACCAGCTGGATTCAAGGCATCTTCATATCTGACACGAAATACTGCAAAAATCTCTTAACAAGTTTCCCTTCTTTCATCCTTTCCAATCTTACAAAACATTTTACACAAAGCAGTCAAAGATATTATTTTGAACCTAATATGCTCTGTGGTACAGTTTTGCTCAGAACTCAATATCTCCTCATTTCATCAGAGTCGATGTCAAAGTCCTCATTGAGTCTACTGGTTGTCCACGATTTCATTTCTCCAACTACATCCATCTCTGCTCACTCTACTGCAGTGACCATTAGCCTTCTTGTTATTCTTTGTATATATTGGGCACATCACTGCCTCAGAGCCTTTGTACTGACCGTTCCCTCTACTGGGAATACTCTTGCTTGGACATATGTATGACTCCGTCATTTATCTACTTTAGGTCTTTTCACACCCTGAGCGTTATGTGTCAAATTATAAACACCCTTTCATTCCAGCACTTTTCCTCCCCATTATTTGCTTTATTTTTCTACATGTCACTTAATGATCATTTTTAAAACACACTGTATAACTTACTTATTTTGTATATTGTCTGTCTTCCCTATGAGAATGCAAACTTCATGAGGGCTGGATACTTCTTTCTACTAGATTACCAGAGCCTACAAGAGAATCTGGCATATGGATGACACTCAATAGATATTTGTTGAAAATACATAAAATATGTTTCATTATCTCACTTTACAGTTGAGAAAATGAGATTCAGAGAGGTCACTGAGTTTCCCAGAATTACAATGTATTAAGGCCAAAATTGAAATCCAGATATTCAGATTTCTTTCCTAGAGATGCCTTGGGGGAAGGGACTGTGATTGAGGTTGGGGGAGAGGGTGTGAAAAGAGAAAGGACTATAAGGGAAGTGGGCTGGTACTTGCT